ACATCCATATTTGTAGAGCCTCCACCAACCCTCACCTCCAACTACATACCTTTCCCATTCCCATTCAATCGAGGTAACTTACGCTTTCAGTAGTTACTTTGTCTGCATAACATACTTCATATTAGTTCGTATTGTCAATCATGTTTTGTGACCTACTTCCATATTCATATGTACATGTTCATTCGATTTTTGGATTACATCTATTTGATTTACCCCTTCGTTCTAACATAGTAATCCTCTTATGTCTTGTATCATTAAGCCTGCAATCATATCATTTCCGAATTGATCAAATTGCATCATACAACACATTCCTTTTGTTAGCGGATACTGAAATCATTTCACTATTCTATCCTATATCTTATCTATTGCGCATCAATGAATATATTTTATTCACTTTAATTTTCATCATGTAATTTTCATGCCTGGTATTTCCATTTTTGGGACAATCTATTCCTTTTTCGACTTCAAGCAATGATTGGGCAATAGCACTGGTTGGGAAGAGAAATTGGGACGTGTACAGGCCCGATTGTAAGCTGGTTAGCTTAACAAAGCCGAGTTGTATGTAAGACACTCGAAGTTTGACACTCAAGGGTTTGCTAAATGTAGACTGGTACCACAATTTTCACCACACCCAAGTGAAACCCTTGTATCAACAAACGATCAAACACTCAAGATGCCAACCCAAGGTGGAGCCCAGTTTATAATTATCTCAATCTCGATTGAATCTCTTTCTGAACATACCTCGAATCCAACTTCGATTGGCGCGTGGATGGTTCGAGCAATGTATTGGCCGTGATCTGACTGTTGTCCTCGATCACAATAGGCAATTATTACGGCTAAGTAAGTAGTCTTGACCGGAAAGCGAAATTCTCAAAATCATGACAATCACACTGATGTATGTTTTGGGGAAGCGATCAAAAAGGTGCTGAGCTAGAAACGGATGAGAGACCTGAAAATCTAGCTGAACATCGCTCATTTGTTACGGAGGTATCATGGAACTCGAAAAGGAAAAACGTATGTTTAATTTAGCATTTGAATAAATCAACACCCCAGAATATCGTCGATCGTTCGCTCATGTGCGCGTACGTACTAAACCTTCAAAACATTACAATAGGCCACATCTTGCAGTACTCCACGCGACTTAGAACTCTTCTTCTCAGATTTGGTGCTGGGAAAGGTTCAGCTCTGGTAGTGTATATTGGGGAGGGAGCTAATGACTGTCACTCCAGTTTGCGAAGGTAATTTCATTATTTACAGCCTTTGAAGCTTACGACCTTGAACCCACCACTACCATGACGCTTCTGATTTGTTGAAACATGTACAGGCAATCAGAAATCACCCATTGCCGGGGGTTTACTATAAACAATACATAAGCTTAACTAACAAGTCAACTACCCCAATCTTACCCCAATATCTTATCACATCAAAGCCTCACTTCCATCTGCACCCATTATGGTCTCGAGCAAGGATGTACCCAAAGCCCAGGCAAATAGTAATCCTGATCAAATTCCAGCCAGTGTTATCTTGTGCAAATAATGTATGCCAGGCAAACTACAGTCAACCACTACTCCAACATTTGCCAAATATCAGAAATTACAAAGAAGTCTCTAAAGTCTTCTCACCCTCTCCCATCCTACCTTACTCATTGTCTGAATCATTTATACACAATTCAGGGCAACACATTGTTATACTCTGTTCAGCACAATTGTGTGTAACTAATTACCTTCAAGAACTTTGACAAATACCCCAAATGTCTCTTCTTTTGACTTTGTCATTTACTTGTGGTTCTGTCTTATCAACCTTTGGTGTACTCAAAAGGCCTTCATGTTACCTTCCCATAGTGCTTCACATCATTATTTTTGCAAATTCACTCTGAAATTCTTTTGCACGGTTGGTTTGCTCTATATGTCTCTCCCCTCTGCAATCTCACATGCTTCAATAGTTGTCTCAACCATTGTAACTCACATAATACTTGATACACTCTTCAAAAGCAGGTATACTATTCCTGCCACTCTGTGTTTTCTTGAGATACAGCCTTCCTTTCTTCTTGTAATCATCCTCTTTTCTGCTCTACTTGCCATTGCTCAATATGACCTCATTGTTTTTACACAATGTTCATTGTCTTAAAACTTTGCTCTATTTCCACTTTTAGGTGCAAAATTTCCATAGGGATGAAGAAAACCACCATTTCTGAACTGCAGGAAAACAGAGCCATTACAATGTGTGGGTTTTGGTTTTGCTTTCCTATGCTGTTTGATGAAAATGAGAGATTGTGGATGTGTTAATCTTGGCAATTTGAACTTACAATTTGGGAGTAAGAATAGTGCATAGGGAGTCTTGAACCTAGGAGGCTTATTTCTGAGCGAGAGAGATAATGTCTCTCATTTTTTACTTTCCAAGATTCAGAGTTTGGGATTCTAAGTACCTTCAACCAAGTATAGATCTTGAATTTTTAAAATGAAGTGCACTGTCACATTGATGCATTTGATAGTTCAAGGATTTGTACTTTGAAGCTTTTGTATTTGAGTATTGAAACTTATTGAGATTAAAGGCGGGCTAGCCCGCCTACGTTCTAGTGTACTGTAAAATTTCATCCCAGGCAAATACATAGTCTTGGACCAGGAGGCATATGGCCTGTTTTCAATACAGATCTCAAGCCGTGCAAGACTGTCCGTTCCTCGTGCAACATATACCAGCAGATGTACAAAAAGATGAAGAATGAAATATTTGAAAATTGAGAAGCACAAGTCCATTTTAAGTCCCTCTGCAAGGGACGGATGCGCAAGAGGGGCTTGGTTAAGCTTAGCAGGTCAGTATCTGAGAAAGGTCTTGCAAGGCACATTGAGGCTGAAGCAGACTGAATTTTTCCAATGCAAAGTCAAAATTAGTCGTACACCAGGCTTCAAGGCAACAAATGCACATGTCATAATATGTAAGCATATTAATCACAAAACATTAGGTAATCTTTGCAGGGAATCTCTCAATGCATCTTCACTCCAAGGATATCTTCACAATAATCATGAATCTGGCTAGCTTAGTGTCAAAATTAGGAAGCAAAAGGACACCGCCTCATTGCTGATGACAGAATAGGTGTTACAGAAGTTGGGAAAGACCAACTCTTGCAATAAAAATGAAAAGTTTGGTACCCAGGATGTGATGAGTCAAAGGAATACAAAAACAGATGTTGGAGGTTAACTGATTTGAAGAGTAAATAGGAGAAATTGAATAGTAAGTGATCAACAAAGTTTGGATGGAAAATTTTCACTTAGAACATACAGGCTATTATACCTGTTGCATGGAACATTCACCCAAAGAAAATGGAGCTTTTCCAGCACAAACTTGACAAAGGCCAATCTTACATTGTTGGCAAATATGACTCTGTTGACTTTGTTCCCGTTACCACCCAGATAAAAATAGATTATGTATCTGCTTTCCAAGCTTGGTTCAAAAAATCCAGTCTGTCAAAATCTTACTTGAGGTTGAGTCCGCACACAAGGGTAAACACGGGCTCCAATCAACAGCTTGCATCCCTTGCATATGTTCTTGTGTGTGGATTTTATACCTGTGTATCAATCTGGCCTGCGTGACTTATATTATGTAGAAGCATAAGGCAACTCTCCCTGATCTTTCCCCATCAGATGCTGGCATGTGTCTTGATTTCTTTACTTGCGTGTTCACGTATCCCTTTAGATCCAAACCGGGCTATTCACAATCACACGGATAAGATGGGTCAATTTTCTGTTTGCTTTGGTTATGACTGTGTTCTCGTTTGATCAAGAACATCAGGATCGCTATGCCGTGATAATTTACGCATCTTGATCAAATGGTCCACTGGTTCGAAAAGACCTTCAGTCTCGATCGGCTGTTTTGAAAACTTCGGCCACAAGCTATAGCGCCTCATAGGTTTTGATGTTAAGCTTCAACTTGTGATAGCCTGATGGCCTGCCTTGTTGAGTACAAATGACGTTGCAGACGTTGCCCAGTTCAAATTCAAAAACCAATACCATACATATGTTCCCCTCAGACCTAAGAATCAAGTTCATCTATAAGTCAACGGGAAACAATTGTTGCCGGGTATTTCTTGCAGCACATTTTGACTGGTACGTATCAGATTGACTAGCACAATGAAATATCACCATACGCTGGAGGCCTGCTCATCCTCATCCATGGACCAGAAGTTGTGTAGGCCTTTGAGCCCGATGCAGCGCGCCTCTGGTCCTATAAAGAGTGTGCTGATACGAGAAGCTGGTAGCGACATCATCCTTCAAAAAACCAACATTTTTATTAGTGTTGAACAATTGAACGATCCACCACATCCAGTCTTTACATACTTTCATTCAATTCTTTTTCATTCCAATCATACACACAACTTGATCATATCCCACTTACATACTCAAGATGCAATCTTTTTCTTTGTTTCTTTGCGCTGTTAGCGTCTTGACCTGTTAGTCCAGTGTTTGCCCTCTGTGTCCTGAAAAATAATACTGACATAGATGATTTTTCCAGCCACAATCAATGCGGCGCGAATCACCCAAAACATCAAACACATCAGATCAGAGCCCTCCGAAGCCAACAAGACAACAATATACTCCCAGTCAAAGCCAGTGTTATCAGCGAGCAATTTATCTCACACTTCACAGGATTGGTTGGCAACACCACCTGCCAGCAACCCCATTGTTCGCGAACCCCTCCCCGCAAAGGCCAATGCCACGCATATAGGCAACAGTTACAGCGAAGGCCAGATAACCGGTTACAAAGCATTTCTCTCCCACCCGTCAACAAATGCATCTGCCCCTACCCACCTTTACACCGAGGACAAAACCTTCAATCGAGGCCTGGTGAGAGGTTACCGGGCCGGGATGAACCACCGTGCATCTGCCAACTCAAGTGACTTATCAGCGAGTGGCTCGGAACAATACATGAATGGTCAACTTGCTGGATACCGTGCGGCTCTCAATCAAAAAGTTAGCAACCATGCTCGAGTCAGCAAGCAAGAATTTCCTACATCCATTCTTCAACACGATGTCGTGTTCAACGCCGGCGCGCGGGCTGGCTTTGAAGCGGGTGCCAATTCTCATTTTTCACGAGCTCACTCTGGACACTCATCACATGAAGAATTGTCTCGCGAAAAATCCGATGCCTCACACAAGCTCGTTTCTCATTCTGAAAAGCACGAGAAAGGTACCGGTTCCTCTGCCAAAGAAGCATCGCGTGTACATGAGGTTTCAAGTATTTCGGGTCATGATGAACACTCCTCCGTGAAGCAAGCTCATCATCACCACGTCACAGGTGAAAAACACGATGTCCAAGCTGCTGCTGAACAACCATCGGCTCCTAACAATCAAACTCAACGTCTTGCAACGGATGCCAACACCAAACCTGAGAAGGCAACTCACAAACACGAAGGACATCGAGTCTCCCATCCATCCGCCGCCGGCGCCAGCCGCACAGTAGAGAAACCAAAAAAGACGAACGATCAGAATAATGCAGCACAATTCTTTGCAGGCCGTCAAGTGGGCATGGATGCAAGCACTCGTTTCCCTAACTCACAACCATCTGCTTATTTCAAAACGGACCCATCCTTCAATGCTGGAGTTCAAGCTGGGTTCGAGGCTAATGTTCAATCACATTCCCCTCAATAGCCTGTAATCCTTGTTTCCTCATGTCATATTTTTTGAGCTCTTTATTTATATACTGTCACTCATTTTTACCATTACACACGCGTTCGTTCGGTTTACCTTTCATTCTTGAGACTTATTGTACAATAGCCAATGTATAAACAGTCCAACCACATGTATCCCTGACCTCCTACAGTCATGGCCCACATTGTATCGCAACATTGACCCCAATGTAAAAAGCTCTGAATTAAATCCAAATACTATGACCCCAACAGGTAAAACAGAAACAAAACATGCTTGCTATCCGTGTTCATCACTTCAGCATCCATAATATGCCTGAGCCCTACGTCCCTGATGTTCATTTGGCAAATCAGCACTTTTCATCACCCTGTCAATTCTCCTCCTCTGGTGGGACAGCGTCCGTCATCATTGACAAGTGCTGACCAAACAGCCCACCAATCAAACAAGTGCAGGCGGGTAATGACCTCGACATATTACAACACGCCCAATGCGAGTCAAAGTGCGAATTCAATAATGACTTTGACAAAACTTTACTTTTCAAAGGATGACCCTTTCAGGCAATCTGACAAGAAAACATAACAATACAAATGAAATAACTAACAGCGTTACAAAACACACAAAATACACCAAAGGGAACAAAACTGCTAAGAAGAATCGTTGAAAAAGTATCAATATTAAAACGAGAATAATCTAGTAAAGAAACTAAATCTAGTGATCGTCCATCTTTCAAGTGACACTACCCACATCAAAAACTACACACGCAACCTGATGCTGATCAAGAGGAACGAAGAAAATGGTAAGAAATCCTCTAGCGTTTTCTAAAAGCATCCCTAAAGCTTTCTTTAACACCTAGTTTACCCAAATTCGACCACCTCGGATTCACCCATGCACTTCCCATACCAGATGTCACCAAAGGTTGACCAGGTTGACTAGCTATCAGTCCTTTGATGATCAGTTCAACTTCTACATCACTATGACTGGTCGGATCGTCTTCAGCTATTGCACCATCCACTTCCATCGATGTCTGAGGTCTAGAAGGTGCAACAGGATAATAAAAATCTTCATCGATTTCTCCCAAGAGTTTCGCCTCATTAGCTGCCGAAAGTTTATCACCAGTTGCACGACCACCTTCGCCCCGATGATGGTGGCCGTCTTTCTTTTTCGAACCAGATGCTGCTCCACTTCCACCACCAGCACCTCCAAACGTCCTGTTGTGCGTGTTATTTGACTTGCCATGATGTTTTGTGTGGTCTCTTTCTTTGTCCTTTGCACCGTGTTTCATACCACCAGACGTATTTGTATTTCCCATGGCCGCACGCGCACTAGCAGCTTCCTTCTTCTTTTTCTTTGACACACCAGGCTCAATGCCAGGTCCGACCCTAGGCGTCACCACCTTTCGGTCTCCCCAATTCGGGTTATGTTTCTTTTGCCATTCATTACTAGATGAGAAAAATCAGATTAGATACGAGAGAGAGAGATTTCGAGATGATGAAAATCTACGTACAGCAGTACGTCATAAGGTGCACTTCGACCTGGTACACTTCGTTTGGCTCCCATCGAGTGAGTCTTACACGTCAATGATCTTGCACAAGGTATATCCTTAGGTGGTATGAGAACCCCACATTGTTCATTCACATTTACCGGACCACCTATCAATATTATCGAAACGGAAATATCAAGTTAGTATTGTACCAGTTTGTCAAATCCCAAATCAACCCACCTTTGATTCTACCCATTTTCTTTTGATTGGCTTTCTTAGCCTCCTCCTCTCGTGCTTTCTTCTCTTTACGTTCTTTCTCTCGTTCCATTCGGTCAGCCTGAGCCAAGACTTTCTTAAGTTGTTTGTTGGTCATTTTCAAACCGGCTGGTAAATCACTAGCGATAGCTGAAGTGACGGAGGATGTCGTATGATCGATAATCGTTGCCTTCTTCTTCTTAGGTGGTGGATTTGATGAATCTAATGATACTGAAAGAAGTAAGGAAGAGTCAGCTTGGGTACTCGAATGGGTACGAGAAATCTTCAATCGCAAACCTTCTGATGAAGCTCGTTTCTTTGATCCCGCCTCTACTCCTGCAAACAAACCTGCCTTCTTCATCATGCGAGCCGGTTTCGTCATTTCACAATTCACTTAAGCACATATTTGTTTCATGTTAATCCCAAATGAATTTCCATAAACGAAGCACCAAAAAGAAAAGTCAAACCTTTATGAGTAACACAAACTCGACCATTGACTTCACGAGTTTGAAGTCCACACATATCACAACGAATCACTCGAAGTTGTTCATCCGGAGGTCCGAATAAAGTTTCCATTCTTTGAATCCATATTGGACCGGGTTCATCAGGAGAGTTAGGTGGAGGTCGAGCAGGTGCTTCGGCAGCTTGTTGTTTTGCTATGGCTCGAAGTGGTTTCCATCTATCTGTAGCTTGTGAGAGTGTAGTTTGAGTAGATTCGAAAGTCTTTAGCTTTGAAGCGATGATAGGGTCAGCTGGTTTAAGTTTGAGAGACATTTGAAGTTGAGTTTTAAGTGAGAAACCCTTCAGAGTGGTGCTACGAGCTCTGTCACAAAGTCAATCAAATTCAATTCGCAGCCAAGATGCATGCAGCATGAGATGAGTACATTTCACAAATTAACAAAACTGCCCTGAAACAGGATGTCACCTGGGCTACCTGACAGGCGATGTGCATCTGTCATCAAGCGGTGCCCTGATACAGAAGAGATACACATGAGGGACAGATGATAGTACCAGGTTTCACTTGGATATCACTAGTATGACTGCCACGAGGAGATCGATTGAATTTCCACAGAATCTGTCTCAAGACTACCACCATCTTCTTTCTACTATTCAGGAATACTACCTTTGGCAATCAACTCGATACTCAATTCTTCAACACTATCCTTCAACCCACGAACCGCTTTCAATCATGCATAACATCATGGGGAGGCTCAATAGCGTCTCGTCAGTGACTTTTACATTGCCAGCATTGCCCCAAGAATTTATCAATGGCTGATGCTAACATTGTTCTTATTCTTGATTCTTGCAGTGCTTTCGCAACCACAGTCGTGATGTTTTTAATGGTTGCCATCTCTGGTGTAAGCTGGCTAACGAGGCCAACCGTCTCACCTGGTCGAGTTGAAGTCTCAGATGTAGTAGTGTGAGGAACTAGTAATAAAGAATTATATAAAGAGAAGAAATCAATGAATTGAAATTGTCTTCAAAATTTGCATTCTTTTTCAATTTCAGCACATGGGGTACAGATAATCGGGATTACTATGATCGAAAACCAAGAGAATGGACTAATTTACGATTCGGAGTTGAAGCTGGTACGTTTGCTCAACAATCTCATTTTGTTTTTGTTTTCTTGCCTTAAAAACTTATTGATTTATTATGATTTTGTAAAAAAAACATCTAGATCTTCGTCCTCTATTTAACTATAACACAAAACAAATTTTCGTTTATTTGGTAGCCACTTATGCTACACCAACTTTTCCTGAAAATGAAGTAGTTTTATGGGATCGAATCATTCGTAAATCTCAAGACGCTAAAATCAATCTAAGTGGAGCTCGAAACAAATATGCATTTAAACATATTGGTGGATCTTTCAAGTCAGTTTTGAACTAAAATCTTGTTTCTTAAACTATACAAACAAAACATCTTATTGATCCCAATTCATATTTTTTTAATTTTTTTTTTAGGAATGCAACGGCTACTTATACCTTACATTATAATGTGATGCCTAAGATGGGTGCCTTGGTTTGGGGAACTGCTGGCAGCACTCCAGAACCTGTACCTTTTCCTGGAGTGACATCTGGAAGGGGAAGATGATGAATTGTTCAATCGGATCTATCATTTCAACACCAATAGAGCAAGTTGACAAAAAGTGCACTTGAGAGGGGGCATGAAAAGCTCTTTCGGCTTTGATACTAAGCATGTTGGTTGGTTAATAAGGAACGATGATGAGGTAGTTCAAAATGCGATCACCAATTAAGCATCCTTACTAGATCGTGTTCATCAGTGACTTGTTGCAGTAAAACCTTTGTATCGTTTTTTTCTAGCATCGGGTTCTTGATTCTTTTGGTGTTGTGTTTGTTTGTGGAGGATTTCTCTTTTCGTGGTCTGGGCAGTAGCCAAAAAATCGTTTAGAGTGATTTATAGTTTTGCATCAAAAATGTGATTATGTGAGGCAATCATCTAACAGTACGCCTTGAGAACTGAGAGGCGAAGGAATTATGTAGGAACTGGCAGAACCCCATCAAACAGATTTGGGCTGGATTTTCAGTTCTCTCATCCACCTAAAATTCTCATGTTGACGGAATCTGTCAAGAATAAGCTAGCCCTTATCTGCCCTTATGATAACTCAAGGATTGGCTAGTCGGAGGTATCAATGGATTCCCCATAGCGCAATCAATTCCACCCTTTCTTAGACTGGATCATAGTAGTGGGTCATCAACATTATTGATCAGCGAGAACCTTGAAGATTCTCGAGGTTCAAATATCTTTTGCTCTCAGACAAAAGTCTATGGTAGTACATTGCGAAGAATTAAGCATAAACTGGCGAATTTGACGAAGCGGAATGTCTGAACGCAACAAGTTTTCGTAGGAGGAAAAGACATGTATGATTATTGAATTGACCAATCATTGTGGTGTTACCAGCTCAAGTTCCCAAGTCCTTGCTTTCGATTCCTCAGGTACATGACCAGTTTTATTTTGATCCCTTAATTTGGCTGGTAAAAGTACATCAAGACTACCAGGTGTACTTCGACCAGGTTGGAAACCTTGGGTTCTCCTATGTTCATAACCTGGATAATGACTTGGACAGAATTCTCTTGATCGAGAAACTTTGTAGGTGGGCTGAGGTGTCTTGGGATTATTGAGGGCAGGATGTGTTGGGTAAAGAATTGAATGAGCCATCGCAGGTCCATGCTTTGCAAGTTTACTAGGGAGCAACAAAGTCACTCATCAGTCTAGATAGATGAGCATATACTTCAAGCAGATGAAAGACTTACGGAAGCTCCCAAAGCGAATATGGCGAACAATTCCGGAGGGTGATCAAGACCGTACTCTGACGTGCAACTGGTCGAATCGCCTTGCGGACCTCTTTCACAAGATCAACAGCGTCAGAAACAGTCTCTTTGGAGCAACAAAAAGACTCAAAGCTCACCATTGCTGTCTGAATCGCTAGAATCTACTACCAGAGGGTAATCATCTTCGCTCATCTGACGTAGAATATGATTGACTGATCTTAAAAACTTCAAGATCAAGATCTGATTTGACTTGATGTTTCTGTTCATATCAGCTTCACCCGAACCCATATGAGGGAAATTAAAGACCACCCGATCAAATTTACAATTCTTAACACGTTTATCTTTATGTAAATTACATGCATCTAACTTGAATAAAACATTCACGCCATGCTTTTTGAGTGTTTGAATAAATTCAGCTGCATCTGGATATTTTTGTAAGACGATTTCTTCAGAATCGATGGTCGTGGCCGTAAGCAGATGACCTGGATGAGAGTGGTATAAGATCAAAGATGCAGCGAATGAAAAGTTTCCTGTTCAAGGAGCAATATCAGCCAGGAGCACATTAATAAGCTTAAAATGACATGCTGATCTACCTTCACCAATCAAGAGTACCTGGTCTCGTGGCCCTACCATACATGTTGAAGGAGTCGCTCGGCGGCGCTTTTCCCGATGCGAGGAATTTCCTGGGTCATTTCTGAGGTCGGTATCAGGCGCAGACTGGTCGAAGGGCAGTGTTATGGGTCGATCATCAGTAGGTACCAGCGCCGAAGAATCCTCGCACCCGATACTGGGGACACCCTCATCTGAAATGTTCGAAAGCGGTTGAGTTTGAATTGGCGCAGAAGGATGCGCCTCATGGACACCTTCTTCAGATATCGCCTGTGATTGCTTTGATGTTGAGTGACCTGAGTTACGCTTTCGATTTAGCTTCAGCTTATGACTCTGCTGTTGTGCTTCCTTGATTGCCTTGACCTTTTGAACGTGAGCAAGCTTCGTTCTTTTAATTTGATCTGCAGCGAGAGCGTCCTTCAGTTTCATTTTTCTTTTCGCCATTTTTTGCTTTCACAATGATATGTGCTGATGTAAACGATATGAGATGAAGCTTATGAGATTGATTGATTGTGAAAAAGTTTTGTGACAGTTCTGCGAGCTGGACGGCAAAATGTCGACCAGATATCCGACCCCGAGACTGACCCGTGAATGCTCTGGGTGACCACAACTTCAGCCAAACTTCAAAGCATTTTGGGTGGATTATCCAAATAGCTTCAAGTACGCAACATTTCTTGCTCTGTCCAACAAGACATTTTCAAACCCCGAAGAAAAAAAGACGAAGCCTTCACAGGCTGGAAAAACAAAGAGCCTCTATCATAAATGAGGTCTGACCATATACACTGCTGAGCTTGGACCAAATGCGCGGCGGCAGTGCTTGTAACACAATGGTTTAAATGGCAGAAAATGAGAATTCACAACTTATGTCGGGGGGAAATTCGCTTAGAGTATCAGCGGTGCACTCACAATAGTCCTACAGTTTTGATTATGTTTTTTTGCTGAACAAGATGTGGATGGCAAAAAGCGCCCAACGGCCTGAAGGTTTTTGAAATGGTACATTGACTGTATCAATTTGTGATGAGCTCAGCATATTTTGTTTACCCATTTCTCTCATTGATGTTTCCTTTTAGTCTACGTATAAGCTTCACAGTAACGTAGAAGCTCGCTTTCATTTTTTATGTGCTTTTCATCTATGTATCATCGCTTTTCCTCTTGATTAAGTCCTGCTAGAGTTGTTGTCCATCTTTTCCATTTCTTCATAATGTTGTAGACGAAATCCACCCATAGGACATGTCTTCATGTCTCCGACTTCACTCTTTATTGTGGAAGCGCCTATCTACTCATCCTACTGAATCATATTTCCAAGTTCCTTCTTTCTCGCATTTCAAAGCACCCAGATCCCTGAGGGAATGACATTATTTGTGTCATAAGAGCACGAGCTCTTTACATTTTTAGAAATGTATCACAATAGTAAACGAAGATTAGGTGGCCCGAAAGTTAAGCTGAAAAGCAAGTTCTTACTTTCCTGTTTCATCTCTTGTCACATAAGGTTGTTATCATTGCAACGGTTCATCATTGTGATAAAGTAAGTTCACAACGTATAGAAAAATGTAGTACCATCAGCAATGCTCAGAAAATGTCAAATTCGCATTAAAACCAAATCTGATGGAAATTGTCAGCTTTCTTGGAACTTTTTGATACCTCGAGAAAAGCTAATTATCACGAGAGAAAGCCAATCATCAAACAACCCTTCTCTTCATCATGAAAAGTCCAATCAAAGCAACCTTGAAAAGTAAGAATGCTGAGAACTCACTGCTGATCCACTGCAACTTCAAGGTATAAATATTCTTCTCTTTCGCCAGACTCTTCTTTCCTTTCCCTCATCCCTTCAGCACAACTCAAACGAATCATATCAAGATTAAATCTTCAGCGTTGATAAACATCTTGACCAACTTTCAATACCTTTATATTCTATACTTACCATCAAAATGTCAGCCCCAAATGAAACCCCTAACGTACCTCGTAAACCAACTGTCAATGAAGTGATGCGCACAATGCGTTTTAAGAAGAAAGTTCCTGCTCAGCCCGCTCCACCACCGCTACCCCCATCCCCCGGTCCTCCACCAGGTAGCGTTCCTTCGCCTCCTCGACTAGTACACTTTGCAGATGGATCAGGATGGAGATGGTCCGGCCCTTCACACAATCCAACCAATAGAGTGATCCACCCATTACCTTCTCGTCCCCAAAATACTCAAAACTCTTGGTTGCCAGGACCTTTCGACTTTACTGCTCCTTCACAAATGCCTAACATCAACACGTCCGCAAACAATCCTCATTCACAAGCACAAGGTTCCAACTCGACCCCTAGATTTCCTCCACGACCTCCTCGTCAATCAAACAACGCCTCAGGATCAATGCCACAAAGCAATGCTTCGGTCCCTACCACTGCAGTTCCTAGATCACGGAGAAATGCTTTGGTACCCCCATCCGCTTCCACCTCCCAAGAAGGAAAACCCAAGGCCTCGACTGACCAGCCCGTTCAAGGCTCCTCAAGTGGAAAACGTCGCCGCCGAACTGACCCCACCAGTGACGACGAGGATTCAAACAAGCGAACATCAAAGCGTCGTGTCAATAAAGAAATCAAAAGCATGGCCAAGAATTATAGATGTATGTAATTTTCACTTTGACGTTTCCTTTGGTATTAATATCAACGTATAAAAAATGACACTTGTATATAGTAAATGAATGACTGTAGAGATCTATCAAATAATGATTCTGAGTTGCTATCGTATAATCTGCTGTGCCCTTGAGACATTGTTCTCCCGACCCCAAGCTATACCGCATGAACAATCCTTGAGCGCCATCCTTCGCTGAAGGTCGGATGCTTTGTTAACCCCGCACGCGCCCACCCCTTGAAAATGAAATGACAATGAGTCAAATAATCTAATATTGACGGGCGGAAAAAGTGCCCAGACAAGATATTCCGCCATGTGCAGCGAGTGAATTCATATTCATATGTGCGTGCTTTAAACCCCCACAATGTTGCAAAGCTATAGACAGAAGGAGTCATAGATGTATTTGTGTATAATTTCATGATGTCTTTCGTAAATCACCGTACAATGTGTATCATGAAGAGCCCGTGTGTCTCTAGTAAACAGCTATAAAAATCTATGTATCAAAGTAACATTTTTGGTCGGTACATTCCGGCTGTGCTATGCATTTGTTACCTATTCTATCAAGACCAACACATAAAATCTAGAGGGCTATACACTTTTATCCGTGAATCAAGTTAGGCGATTCGTTGAGTTAGTCTTACGACGACCTCATTCTATAAATTTATAAACTTTTTCGTTCCATGTCGACAATAAATGTCGATCCAACATATATACAAACCTTCAAATTAAGTTTCTTCTTCATCGTCTTCCACTGCACAAATCTTCGATGACAGTCTTCTTCCTCGTCTATAAGCCAAGATGCAACATAGCATAATGATGATATCTGATGCATCGAGGGTTTTGCATGTGTAAGTATCAATCTTTGACCGTCACGTAAAATAAACATATATCGTGTACTCACCATAATCATCACTACCCAAACCAGGTTGCCTCCAAGAAATTGAGTATGTATACTATATGAAAACAAAGAGGATGCTAAGATTGGTCCGATGGTGTAACTGAGTGCTGTGCAAGTCTGAGAAAATAAACAAAGTCAGAACCAATGTCCCCCAAATTTACTTCGCTCGCATTTTGTAGGATGTCAAGAAAAATTTACCATAGCAAGTCCATTCAAAGTTCCTAGGGACGACGATGGCGCAGAATTGTTAAGCATAATGGAAATGCAGACTATAGTTGGTTAAGATTGGGTTACATCGTCAGTGATGAGTTCATGGGACGATACCACAAATCGAGCCTTACCAAAGCTAATCAGCCCAGGGCTTTTCAAAATGAGAGTAGCGGTCAAACCAGTCAATGAGACTGCTGGATCGCTGTGACTCTTGACCAGTAGGCTGAGACATGGTAGTAGTATAAAACCCAGGGCATGAGTAGGTAAGGTATACTGATAAAGCCTCAAGGGACGAAAACGCCGTTGCAGAGGAGGGAAAATCAATAGTTGCACAACCAGGAGACCGATACCATTAACACTCAAGCAGAATCCTATCCAATACGAAATATGTGTAAGTATTCCTTGGTGGATAAGTTCTTGTAGAGAATGACAAAAACGTACCGATTTGATCTAGTGAAAGGCTTAGCCCTCCGTCAGAAATTCCTATCCATAGCGAAATTGATAAAACACGATACATGTAAGTATAGCACGATTCCAAAAGCCAAGTTAGATAAAGATAACAAACGTGTGTAAGCAAACAAAGGCACCAACGAGTTCCACGAGGCCGATTGCAAATTGACCATGAAGAAGCTCAGAAGGATCCCAGAAAGTTTTTTGTCCAGCAGTGAAGTAATTGAACGAGGTCCAGTCTCGTTGGTAGGTGAGTTGGAAGGCGAGATAGATTTACGAGACTCAAGATAGAGTTTCAAGCGAGTCTCGGGTGATAAATCACCAGAGCATTTAGAAGGCAAACTCTACAAAGGGTGTCTTCAATATGAGATACAAGAGGTATGATGGGCCAGAGAACTCACTTCTTCTAAACAAAACAATCCCAAGAGGATTGCGCCAAGGTTAAACAGACCGGCCACAAACCCGGGTAAGAAGTAAGGGTATTGCTTCAAGAATTCAATGTTTCCAAATAGGTATGGGTATTGCTCAGCCGGTCTAGCCAGATATCCGCCACAGAGCGGGCCTAAAAGGCCCCCGAGGGCTTTGATAGAGAGCTTTGGAATTAGTCTTAAAGATCAATTGGGAATAACAAGGAGATCTTACCATAGCATAAAGGCAATAGGGCCAGAGCTCTGTCAGACGTCAACATCTTCATCAGCCAATCTGCAAGGCGCTCTTAGTCAGATGTTGAATTCAACACTTACTCAGCATGATTAGTGTGATCAGTAATCTCTCGAATCACACTCTGATAATGTATAACCGCACAACATCGTTTGAATCAATACTTGACAAAGATGAGTTCCTTGCAACACAGGACTATGTAATGATTTGGACAAGTGTAGTGTGGCTTACGCGTAATATTCCAATGTTACCTGCAGAAAAAACCCCGTGAGCAAAATCATCAATGTCACAAACGTATCTGAAGAGTATCTATTACTGACCATTCATCATTCCTGCCAAAGCTCTCGTCACAATCAACCCCGTTAAGCTCGATTGTAGTCCAAAGGAGATAACACTAACAGCCAATCCCAAAAGTCCGGTAAGAATCACAGGTTTCCGCCCAATCCGATCTGATAATCTTCCCCAATATAGGGCTGATGTATGCGTACAATTGAGTCAAAAAATCAGACAGAAAGTAAGATATCGGGGTGGAAAAAGACTGACCTGTACAGAGTTGAGCAAAGGCAAAGAGACCTAACCGAATTATCACACAAGTTAGAAGAATGATGGGAAAGCAACTCGAAGTCCTGAAGTGAGGTCATTTGCAAAAAGCTGGAGTAAGGCTTACTCTCAATCAAACCAGCATAATATCCTACGTGTGTTCGATCAGACGCAATTCCTAAGTCCTCAATCATCTGACTGATGTTGGAGAATCAGAAACAATTAGACGAGTCTCAGTAAAGCCTCATATTTTGGGTGGATAGACTTAAGCACTCACTTGATAAACGGGAAGATAACTGTAAAAGATATAGGCTCTGTAGCATTGATAAGATCAAGGTCACAGGTTAGTATGTGGTATAAGTTAAAGATGGGCATCCTTTCGGTTGCGGTATGGCTAGTGATTGAATCTCGCGAAAATAGGGAATTTACCAGTGAAGCGCATGATACAAAGTATAGCCAGTTGCTTTTTTGGCAACGGTGTAGACTTTTGCGTTTGGCGACACGAGTCTTCGATTGAAGAATATGACTATAAAAACCAAAAAAACGCGTAGATGATAGAAAAGGGTTCGTGCAAGGATTAATGTGATTTGTCATAAAAGCATTGGAAGATTACCTAGAGTAAAAGTTGATCCCTCGACATTTATCAAGGTCACAAGTTGAAAAGACAAGGAGCTGCCATTTGTTTCAAGACTCACCCTGATAGTAGAATCATCGGAAAGACGAGAGTCACTCGGAGGTAGAAGTGGCTGTCTCTCGAGGCGAGCCATTAGAGTCAAATGGGGTTTTCAAGTTTTTTTCTCGGTTATTGTGTAGGGCCACCGAGTTCAGTGATTAGATTCGAGTAGCAAGAGTTGATTAAGATAGCGATTG